GCCTGGTGGGGGTGGGTATCTGCCTGGTGGGTGGGTATCTGCCTAAACACGGGTTTCGCTGTATTAAGGAAATTGCGCGTGATGGGAAACCACACATCTAACCAGGAACACTCGCTAGTTTTTAAAGGGGATACAGATATCACGAAGCTGGATTAACACACCGCTATTTAATAGGAACCTTAAGCAGTCGCGACGGTAACGCCGAGGAAGAAGTCAATTAAAAAATGGATTTATATTTTAAGTTAGAATTTCGCGAATGGCTATAGGTGTTCATCGTCTCTTACGGCGTCACGCCTCAGATTCGGCATAAAGTATAAGAGCACTGTGGATTTCCAAATGGAGACTATATTTCTGCTTATGTTTCTGCTGTTACTATATTTCTAATTTTTTTTTTCCAGATTGTCTTATTTTCAATTTGTATTATTTCTGTCTGCAGACTATCCAAGCTGCCCTTAAAGATGAAGGGACGTTCTTTCAAAAGAACTATCCAGCCCTAGCTTCTAGAAATGGGACCCCTTTCCTTGCGCGGACACTGAATAAGGTATCTAGAAGCCATGAGGATGCCATGCGTTTTGTCGTTAGTGATGCGAGGCTCTCCAACACGAGCATAGTCATGGACAAAACCTCGTTAAATGAATACATTTCTAGCCTTGAAGCATTCTACCTATTTACTCATCAATTTAAACACTTTAATTTTTCTATTCTAGCTCTTAATGCACCATATTAGGAATTGTCTTCCCGACCTGAAGTCACGTGTCAATGCAATGACATCACAATACCAGCATTTACTGCAGAGTTACGGAGAACCAGTGGAAGACAAGGTACATTGTATCATCATAACAATTAAGGGAGTAAAGTTCGTTTGATCTGCGGATGAAACAAAGTACAGCAATGATCCTCGCAGATGAGCAGCCTTTTAAGCACTTGCAGGAAGGAAGACTGAAAAATATTCCGGCTTCGACGGAATCCGAACCGGTGCCTTTCAGATACTAGTTAGGCGCTGAAACTAACTGATCTATGAATCCAGACTTTGGGAGCGGGCCACATGTGTCCCGGAGAACAGTTGAAACCCGAACCCGAGTCCCTTTTAGACTAGACAACTATTAATCATGTTTCACTCGTGTCTTTGTGTTAACAGGGCCCAGTACTTCTTCAGCTCATAACGAGATTTGCCTCTGCATACTGCGCCATTATCGAGGGGACTGCTCGCGATATTGAAACAACAGAGCTGTGAGTGGCACACATAAATAAGCAAAGAAATAGTGAGAATCATGAATTGATGAATGAAGAACTAAATGAATAAGTAAAGTCCAAAGTTATCTAACCATATTTTGATTTCATCTACCCAAACAGTTGTGGAGGAGCGAGGATATGTTACATTTTCCACGACATTTTTGGTCAAACACTACAGATGATGGATGCCATGGAGGGACTTTCCACCAAAGATATCCTAACGGCCATTCGAAACGCGACGGTAAGAAATTAGACTGCAGTTTGAGTAGAACAGCGATACACGGATTTCTCTCAGATCTTTTAGAGAATTGTTGATTTTTTTCTGCTTGCAGGGTCCCCGGCCCGCCTTGTTTGTCCCAGAGATTTCATTTGAACTTTTGGTCAAGAGACAGATCCGTCGACTGGAAGAGCCCAGTCTCCGATGTGTAGAGCTCGTCCATGAAGAGATGCAGAGGATTGTGCAGCACGCTTTCAGTCAGGTAGTGTGAATAATGTTGGCAGAAACACAATTTCTTGTTTCTGAGATGGTGAGGTGGCGCCCCACTCAGGAGTGTACCGGGTGTTTACAATAATTGTAGAAATTCTCGCGCACCCATTGGTTGAGAAAATTGGTTTTTTTTTTTTTTTTTACCACAATCAGCTGTAATTTCGCAATCTGATTGGCCAATTTTCCGTTGTCGATAAAAGTACGGACAACGCTCCTCGCGTCAACTTGTCATGATCTTGATCACGTACAGAAAGATTCGTCTTATTTGAAGTCGATATTGTGGTAGAAAACAAATCGACAGTGGTTCAACGTGATCTGTACTCTTATCGACAACGATATCCGTCATCACGGTGGTCAAAATTAATTGTGGACTCACGGGGCGCAATGCCTCGTGGGTCCACAACATTTTGACTACTGTTATGACGAATATCGTTGCCGCTAAGAATACAGACCGCGCTAAACCATAGTCGATTAGTTAAATAGACAATGGAAAATTAAGGTCAATTTGTTAAGTATATCAATAAATTTCGCCGTCTGCGAAACGTGACCGATTTCTGGGGAGGGGTGAGCGGGATTACCAGCGTGACAACGAGGAGATGCAACACTCTCCTTTCTTCCATAAGGATGACAGAAACAACCAGCAGCCATGTTTTGCTTGGGATTAAGTCGGGTGATAACGGGTAGCGACGATAATAATGGAAATTACCATTAACGAAAGAAGCTATCGATTGTTTTAGACATTATCTCGGTCAACTCGCTGGGATGTGTATAGAAAACAGTGCAGAGAATACGCATACTGACGTTAGGGTGTACGAGGTCAATATTGTTTTTGGTTTTAAGTCTTGTCATTCCCCTTTTCCCTAGGTAATGGAGGTGAAAAGATTTCCGCAACTTCATGAAAGAATAGTAGAAGTGGTCACTAATCTTCTGCTTCGCCGACTTCCCTCGACTAACGAAATGGTAATCTGATTTTTTTTCGCAACACGGATACAACCGCACAATTTTCCACGACTTTTTAAGTGGTATTCTGTGAAAGGACGTAAACTCTTAAGGAATTAAGTTGCGTATCCTCCTTGCATTGCAGGTAGAAAACTTGGTGGCCATTGAACTGTCTTACATCAACACAAATCACCCGGACTTCACGGACAGTACCTCGATTTTCTCCTCGATTGCCATGAATCACGAAATGGTGCGGTTAGAGATGTAGTCTTAAATCATGCCCAATGATCCCCTTGTCTAAAGTATCATGGTTCGCAACAAAATTACACTTTTATAAAGGAAAAAGAACTGTGATGTAGTTCTTCAAGTTTATTAACATGGACTTATCCATCCAATTTCTACGTGGTCTACCACTTAACTTGGAAGTCGATTCAGAAGATGTCTCAAACACCAGAGACAATAGAGAGATTTAGCACCGCGCTTTCGTGAAACGGCAAACGTCGGCTGGCCCTTTCACGTTTCACGTAAAATAGCGTGAACTTTGCTGCTTTAGCTTTGCGTGAGCTCACGTCAGGATGGATTTGAGGGCGCCCTTGTATGACTCAAAAGGAATAGTTATGGTGCCTTGTTTGCAGCAATTATCTTCTACACTGTGAGAGAAAAAGTAAAGAAAATCTTACGTACACGGCAAGCGCGAAATAGGTTACACTCACGGAACAAAGCAAAGAGTAACTGGCAAAAGTGAAAAAATGGCGGGAAAAACAAGGTTTCGTTATCACTCTTGGTGTTCGCGTTTCACGTAAACGCGATGCTAAATCTCTCTAATATTAGATCACATATCTAAAATGCACTTTTCAACCTTTTCTTCTGCGTTTGGAAAATGTTATCGAAGACTGTCTCGCCCTGCTGTCATGCGTGTTAGTGCATATGCAGTTTTGTATGTCTTTCCGATCGCGACAAATTCTAACATGCATTACCCGTTCCGTACAAATGAATAGAAAGTTTTGTCACTCTCAGTTTTAAACTAGCAAGCAGTCGTGCCACTGATTTTCAACACGATTCCCCTTTTTTTTCTTTTAGGAGCGCAAACGCTTGAACAAGTTAGCACAAAGCAATCTCGTGAATGGGCCTTTAGAGGTATGGTATAAATGAGTGTTTTGTTTAAGATTTCTTTAAGATTGCTGTTTCGAAGTTCTTTCTTTTCACTCTTCTCTCCGCAAAGTAGTGTTTATTTCCAATCCTTCTTTAACCAAACCTCCATTTTTTTTGTCAGGGTGTCAGATCACAGACATCCACTCCTGAATCCAGTCCGCTCCACAGACCCGACGCCAGTGTGAATGCATCTCCTGCTATCAGTCTTCCCGCGGATAAAGTCCCTGCTTCCTCGTCCTCAGGTGGAGGCCTAACGTCATGGATAACGGGCATGCGTAGTAATAGTGCCCAGCCTACCGTGGACCGAACAAGTGCGGTGACTGGACCGACAAAGTCATCAGCCACGGAAGAAATGGTGATTAAAAACTGTTACATACTTAAAATACAGTTACTTGTGTGAAAGTCATTCTGTAAAATACAAGGAGGGAGTTTGTCACAAAACTTTCAGAAACACTGATCTGATTTGTTGTCATTTTCATGGCAGGCCTTACCATCGTCTTTCAGACAAAGAGGGTTATCAGATCGAGAACAAATGGATTCCGACATAATCCGTAAGTGAACCTCCAGACAAACTGACCCTCACTGAAACCCGACTCATTAAACAACGAACCCAGGGCAACAACAAAATTAACTACGGTGTGTCTGGCTTAGGGTGTCCAAAATTAGCCGCGACCGAGAAAGATTGGGTCTAGGTCACAAGGTCGAGGTTCACGGGCCATGACCTTGTAACAAATTCGTTTTCTTTGTGGCGGCTGTTCTTGCAAAGTCACATCGCATGACCCAAGAAACGTTTCTGGTGAAAACATGTTTGATGAAAAGACGAACAAGTTTGGAAAATTATGCATAATTATTTGTTTTATTTCACTTGGCAAGTTTACCAGAGGACTTAGTTAAAACTTAAGGAACATGATCCGTCACATCCTATCAAACCCATCTTACATGTTTCCTTTACTATTTTCTAGGGAAATTAATTAAGTCATACTTCATGATTGTTAGGAAATCAATTCAAGATAGGTGAGTTGAAATGAAGGATCAGTAATGCTGACTGCAGTATTCGTTAGAAGTATTTTTTTGTACATCAGCGTGTTCTTTGATAAGACAACAGTGCCTCTGCACTCCACGTAGGAGTACCAACAACTCTCCATTTATGTTGATGGCACGTGGGTCACGTGGTGGCCTGACGGGTAACGAGGCGGAGTCCGTGTCGAGTGGTTCGGTTCGAGATCTGGCCGGGTCATTGCAATACAATGAAATGTTTGCTCCTTACGTAATTAATTCATCTTCAACATTTTAAATCTCGTTTTCTTACTTTGATTTTGTAGTGTCCCTAAAGCTATAATGTGCTTCTTGGTGAACTTCGTCAAAGAAAGAATTCAGAGTGAGCTCGTCGAGAAACTTTATAAGGTGACTGAGTTTAGAGCATACATACTTTCTAAGTTTCACTCCACTTTAATCGTAGGTTTATCGCAGTTCCACCGCACTTTTATGAAATTTTCCTCACGCCTCCCCGTTCTTTTCTTGCACAACCATTTTGGTTTGTTTTATAGGAGCTTTTTGAACGCGATTAGCCAAGGAACATGGGCTCCTTGCGATATTTTCCATGGCCGTTTAAGTACTACGGTTTGCTTCGACTACAGTCAATTGAAAATCACTGTGTGCCACACTGTGCAGTTGTAGTTACTACAGTAGTGTAACGTCAGTTCAAGGCGAGTCTCGTTCGTCCTCGCGTCTTGTGTAACCTAGTTACGTTTGGCGTCAAATGTAATTCTGATTTCATTGTGTTTTTCAGAGTGAAATGTTCAGTATTCTTCTCGAGGAAGCAGAACAGATGCATATCAAGAGAAAAGAGGCGGCGGAAATGCTTAAGGTAACAAATAAACAAGCAAACAAACAAACAAACTAGCAAACAAACAAAAAAGTGAACAAACAGAGAATTAAACAAACAAACTCGGAAGTAAACAGACCAACGGCATATCAAGCGAAAAGAGGCGGCGACGGCGGAAATGCTTAAGGTAGCAAACAAACAAACTAGGAAGCGAACAGACAAACGAGAACACTTGTCAATAGGTCACTGTTCGCCCAAACGGTGGTGCGTTCGTTTGTCGTCATTTTGGAACAGTTCAATTTTTGCCATTCGATTTCGAAAATTTGTTCAGTGTACGCGGATTTTTTGCACCGCTCCTTCTCGATATGCTTCTTACAGAATTTAACTTTCCTTTTCCTTGCAGGCGCTCCAGAGGGCAGGACATATTATCAGTGAAGTAAGAGATACACACATTTGGTAATGAAGACTACAGGTGAAGAGAAAAACCTCAAGAATCCAAAAGAAAGGATCGATCGACCATGATATTGTGTTAACGATGTATTCAAATACGAATGAGTAAGAAGTGTTGTTCACTCTGAAGAATTTAGGATTCTCTTTTTTCCTGGGCTTTCTCTTTATTCAAGTAAGGTTTTTGCAACGAGATACCCTTGCGGTGGAAGTTGGTGTCATACCAAACCTACCTGCTTCCTGTGACGTTCAAAATTTCAAGTGACGGAGATTGCGCGAATGCTTTACTGCTTGGTCACTACAGTTACCGTCACGAACAATACCTCCGTTAGAAAATTGTTATTTTTTTTTGGAAGTTTCGTTCGCAGTTTTTGCTCCAATGCTTGTAATATACTGGTGAAAAGGAATGATGAAAATACTGTATTCGTGCTCTGAGCTGTATTGGTCATTTAGTCTCATAAATCAACGCACCACTCGCTTTGAATGGCGCCTCCCTTTGAATAACGCCCTTCTTATCCACCAACACTTAAAATAGATGCTCCCTTCCTTCTCGCCGTATTTTATAAGCGAGTGACACGTAGTAAATCAGAGTTGATATATGGATGAAAAGTGACGTACAAGTCGTCACATGTAAACTGTAACCCAGGCTTCAACAGGGCCTAAACCTCTGCCCCAACTCTCTGCTGTCCTCTTTTCTGCGCGCGCCAACGAATGATTAGGTATGAGTTGCCATTGTGGCGCTACATACATACAAACTATTTTTTTTCTCTCTAAGAGAAAGCGCTGTTTCTTGCCACACTTTGAGACAGCTCAGACTCATGAAGAAGAGCAAAGTATTAATAGTTATTTTACTGCAATGTTTACTGGGAATCAATACGGCATCTTGTAAAGGTGAGACAACCTACTTCGCATGGTTTTGAGGTTTGTTAGTGTACAACTCAAATATTTGAACAGCATCGTCCGTAAAAAGTCGTTATAAGCCAAGCGCGAGGTCGATATGGCTAGATGTTTGCTACTTGGATTGAAACGATATCCAGGTCCATGACAAAACAATCAAATGAATGAGACCAGAAGCCGCTCAACTTAACGGAACACGTTCGATAAATGAAGGATTTGTTACGTAGAAAACATTGCATTAAAGGACTGCCAAATTAATTCACTTAACTCGTCGTTGTATTCTCTGCTTTGAGACGTGTTCGTGACTTCCATTGCCAAATTACTTGGATAACTTTTTCGTATGCTTAAATTATGCGCGCGCAGATGATCATCCCGTCATGGAAACTGCGCAATATAAATTCACAATTTTATTTATTTATTTATTATTATTTGTGATTGAACAGATGAGAAGTCGTGAAGAAAGTTATTGGGTTTTACATTCGCCTAAAAATTCAAGAGCTCCCTCTCGTTTGATTTCCTGTTTTTATTCTTTCATCATGCATTTACATTCGGTGATTATGGTGCTACGCCATTGTTCTCGTATAGGTACAGATCAAGAGTCGTTTTCTACGCATGCGTTCTATTCGGAGGATATATCCCCAGACACGTCAATGCTTGATAAAGGACTCGCTGACGGCAACGACAAAAGCAAACCATTACCACAAGGTAACAATAGAGTTCACGAGCGTGGAGTATCACCTCGACTCGAAGGAACCTCAGCGATAACACACAATAAGGTGGTTGTTCACCATAAAATGAAGTCAGTAAAAGGGCCTCCTTTGAAATTTCTCCGAGATACTCCAAAATTACACGGGGTTGAAAAAGGAAAGCATTCCAAAAGGAAGAGTAAGAAATCTCATTCGAAAACCGGAGTTGAAACAGAAGCGAACTCTGCTGCAATTGTTGGTGGTATCTTAGCAGGATTGTTAGCCATCCCTTTCATTGTTACCGTCATTGTACTTATATGGTAAGTTTGAGTAAATTAAGTGCGTTCTCGATTAAGCGTTTCCTAATTGGAGATAGCAGCGAATTAAAAAGCATCTTCTGTGGGATTTTTTAACCTTTGAGAGGAAAGATTGTCAATGTCCATCCCATGAAGGATGGAGGTTTAAACTGAATAGAAGGAAGCTTCAAATGAGAATGGCTCCATCACAATTACGTTTTTCGGCTTTTTCATATCCGACAACTCGTTGCGCGATAGTAGGTCGAGAGACCTCAGTTGATGTCCGGGTGTTACGGGAAAACTTAGGTATTTTTCCGTGTGTCTTTGTGGCAGGTCAAGGGACTTCAGTTGATGCCACGTAGGAGTAAATTAAGACATTACGTTTAGCCAAGCTCTTGATTATACTCTTACATTGCCCCTCTTGATGTAATTGAGTATCGTATCGCAAAAGTAATTTCCCTTGAACACTTGAACCAAAATAGTCAGACTTATCTGCGATTATTTTTTCTAATTTGCTTGCGGTTAACTTTACTATATTTGTAAGCCGCATTGATCGAAAAGGATTAGATATACAGTGATAATTACTTTATTTAAGCAGGATACAGACTCTAACCAAATATCTCTCTCCTTGACCCACAACCTAAGAACTATGAGGACATTAATCCAATGCTTTTTTGAAGAGAAAGGTAGAAAACAAAATCAAAATAACTATATTATTACCAAATATAATTACTAGGGTATCTAAAAGATAGTATAAGGGCGGAAGATTTAAAAGCGCTAGCGAATGGCAGGAGTCGCACAGGCCTATCACCAACTCTTAACAGTGACTGCCTTTTGCTTTCCGGCGTGTCATCTTACCCAAGGCAGAGTTATTATCAAGTGACGCCTTTTATTGTGTAGTTCAACTGTTCAACTTTCCTTCATTCAGTAATCAAGCTTAGGGAGGGTACGTTTTTCTTGGGGGGGGGGAGGGAGGCTATGGCCTCAGAGGGGAGGGTCACCAGTGAAGGTAAGCACCAAAAGTGGAGGGTCATACCTCTTTGTAAGCTATTCAAAGGGAGGGTCTCGCACACCTTTTCCAGAATTTTTTTAAAAAGGGTTTTTTTGATGTTGCTCCCCATGTTTCTTACAGACAACGTTTTCTTGTCACCTACTTTGATTTAATTTGGTGTTTTATTACAGGCTCTAGCTTACATTTCTACACGTATATTATGCCATGGCACATAGTTTTCTTGGAGGACTCGTTTCCGCATGCCATGAAACAAACAAACCTTTTTATTGAAAGAACCAACAGCAATGCCGGCTAGTCGGAGAAGGAAGTGCATGTATTTTCCCTCCGATATTATAGTACTCAAAGTTTATGCTTCCATATTCAGACTTCAGCTATAAAACGTAAATATCCCACACTAATTGTTCACATTCTCTTATTTCAGCTCGCACGCATTTATCAAGATATATTTATATTCAAACATTTTGTGTTCACAAGCGAAATGTAATATGTATGTCAAGCTTTATTGGGCAAGATCAAAATGAAAATATACAAACATGAAAAAAAAAAAAAAAAATTAAAGCCGAATAGGGATGGGTACGAACAGAACACCCAGACCCATGTTGGGTGCCTACCTTAAGAAAATATAAGAATTTTAAATATGTACAAGAAAAAAAATAAAATGTAGTTTAGTAAGAGGAAAATCTAATTGTAGGAGAATCTGATTGTACAAAATTGTCATCTAAAAGTATAGAAATCTTAAGGAATTCTGAGATGTTCTGAGGTTTCTAAGGCATGGAACATACCATGCAGTAGTTGGGGGAGGGTCGATCGCACTTTTGTCAGTCACCTAAAGGTTGGGTTCAGGAGTTTTTCCATTAAAACATAAGGGAGGGCCAACTTTTTTTCCAAAAAATCCCAAAATTCCCCAGCCCCCCCC